GGATATCTAGCTCTGAGGCATCTGCTGGGGTTGGTTCATGATTTGGGCCAAGCTGAGCCACTGCCTTATCCAGTGTCAGAAGTGCCCTGGTCCCCGGAGAAACTGCTGTTGGATTCCATGTTATAGGAGGTGTCAGTGACCCCATCTTTGTCATTGTCACTGGCTGACCCATCTCTTGCCGCCATTCAGGCCTGCTTGCACCACCCCACCCCCGAGTTCAGTTCTGGGATATGGGCCTGAGTGTTGTGGGTATAGAAAGACCTGAGGGGACCCAGGATTCGATCTCTTCCCAGACATGGGAGCCTCAGCCACTTTCCCCATCCCTCAGTGAGAGTGACTGAAACCAGCTGTGCTCTAGGCAGCACTGGATACGTAGGGGCAATTCCCATCCTCTAGGATGCTACAGAAAGGGCTGGAGAGGCTGGCCACTCCCCCGCACAGTGCTGGCTGCCCTAACCCCATATGCTTGGCTATGCTGTAGTGGGTACAGCATTCCTCAGATCTCCGTCTTGGTAGCCATGTAGTGTAAGTTGGAAATATTGTCTAGCTCTGACCAGCTTAGCTGAGGGAGGTCTCCTGTCCTGTCAGTGTCCCCCACATGCCCTTAAGTTGTCCCTCCTACAGTGCACTGCTCCCTTCTCAAAGGCAGGTCCATGCTCACTCCTATTTAAGACCCATTGTCGGGTTCCTGGTAGAATGTCCACTCCTTAAAGACAGTGACTTTGTTTGATGTGGTTTCTGCTGTGTCCCTAGCTCCCAGTAGGTGCCAAATAAACATTTGGTGAATAAACATGAAAATAGTATAGTCCGACACTTGGAGAACCCTGGGGATCGCCATCTCCCACCCCACACATTACAGGATGGAAAATGAGAGACCCAGAGGTGCAGGTCATCGCATATGCCTACAAATGAGGACAGCCTGGCTACACTGAGGTGTGGTGACATCCCACCCCGCCCTGCCTGGTGGGGACACTACTGGGGCCACTTGCGCCCCCTGGTGGCCGAGCACGGAGCATGCCAAGCTGCCGACAGCAACTGGTGACACATGCAGATGAAGACAAAGTGGGAGATACACTTCCGGTTCACAATGATACTTCTGAGCAGTTGGTACTTAACCCTTTAGGGAGCGTTTGTGCTCAGAACTCTGTAGTGGCAGAACTTCCTCAGGGCCACAAGACATTTGCACTGGACAGAGCACACCTATCTACAGATGGTGTCTGAACTCTACGTTGCACAGACACTAAATGCATGGAATTGGGGTTAGAAATGACACACAGAACAAAGCAAACACACACTGACAAAGTGGTCCCTCTCCAGAGTGATGTGTTTCAGAGAGCTTTTCAGAACACACGACAGGGATGGGCAAACATGTGCTGATCAGTCTCCCACAAACTAAGAATGTCATGTTTTTAAAAATAACATTTGTGTCTTCAGCCATGCCACCCTGAACAAGCCTGATTCCATCTAATCTTGGAAGCTAAGCAGGGTCAGGCCTGGTTAGTACTTGGATGGGAGACCACCTAGGAAGAGCAGGTGCTGTAGCAGTAAAAAAAAAAAAGATTTTAAGCTGACCAGTTCCTTGCAATCTGTGAGGTCAACCAACAAGAGTTGCCTCACCTAAAAAAGAATAAAAATCACATTTGTTATAGCAGCTGTAATATGTCAGGAGTATCGTATTTTTCATGAAGAATCGTTGTAACCGTCTCTTGAACTATTTTCTGGTCTTTGAAAAGGTATCAAAAATATCAAAGTACTAAGGAAATCAAATTCACATAGAAATTAATCTTCCTTTCCTTTCCCAATGAATTACACTGAAATCTTACCATGTGAGTATGAACTTGGGGCAAAATAAACTTTTAAACATGTCAGCAATCCTCCCCTTCCCTGCCATGCCTGGAGACCAGCAGCAGCTCCTCTGTGGGGACAAGGGAGGGACAGGGGTGGGTGAGAGTGGATAATGGGGCCTCCGTGGCCCTGAGGGTCCAGGTCGAGTGGGCGCCTCCACCCTCTGATTCCAGCAGCATTTCTTCTCCTGTCATCAGCAGCTCTGAGATGGCTGGGTTTACGTTGGGAGAAGAGGCTGCCATGGTCCAAATCGAGAAAGCGATGTCAGGTGCTGAACAGACTGGACTACAGTACAGAAATAGGACTGCCTGCCTCTACCTGAATAGCTTTCTTTGTGGAGAAATGTAAACCCAAAGCTCTTAGAGGCCAAGGGACAAAGCCAATACACATTGGGGACATTTTCAATTTGAAGCCCCCCAGAGCCTATTGGCCAGGGGGTATGAGATCTAGGCTCCCCTGTAGGATGGCAGGGTCCTGTTGGCATTTCTGGGGGGAACCTGGCCATAGTGACCATGAGTGCTGACACCTGCAGGCAGCTTGGACAAATGTCCATGTGGCATCTGCTGGAACTGCCTGGAGTTGGGCTGTCCACTTCTTCTGGGCTGCCCCATGAACCCACCATGTGCCAGGCCTGGACCAGTATGTTCCAGGTGATGCCAAGCAGCCATACGTAAAGTGCCCCTGGCAGGGCAGCAGGTGGGAAGGAGCATGGAATATGCCAGGACCATTCAGGGAGGAGGCTGGCCGACATCCAGGTAAAAGACATGACTGGGATTTGGTGAGGGGTGGCAGAGATGGCCAGGAATAGGCAGAGAAATGGGTAGATTTCTGAGGATTGGGGTGTGTACATGTCAAGGACAACTAATGACTCCTGTCCCAGCCATCTGATGCTTGAGCCGGTTGCCCTGGCTACCTACAGCCTCTATGAGGCCCATCCCTGACTCCCCCCAGCCCTGTGGCCACCTCCTGTCCTATACTTCCTAAGTGTGTCCTGCAGACTCCGAGGGCTTCTTTGCATGGTGTCCCTTTATGCTGACCTTTGTCCTGCCAGAAGGAACCTGGTTGGCATTACGAGATGTTCCCAAAACTATGACCATGGCAGTTGTTCTTTGTTTACCAACATCTTGTGTTTTGTGGAAACTTCTCTGGCAACTGCTGGTTAATTGGAAGAGTTCCATCTCCTCAGCCAGTCACTCCAGGGCACTGTTCTGCAGCCCGCACCTGAGCACAACTACTCTGCCTGCTTTGGTTATAACATGTAGGTCTCTTGGCAAGTAGGCCCCTCCTGTCTGGCTCCTTCATGCCGTCCTCTTATCTCTTGCCTCAGGACCTTCTGTGCATGTTGGCCTGGTGGCTCCTGCCTATATCCCTCACACACGTATCCCATGTGCATCACTTTCACATCATGAGCATCGAGGGCCCAGATTATGTCTTGGTTACACTCCTGTTGGTAGACCTCACTGGCAATAGGCTCTGTGATGTTGTCTGCAAGGCCTGCTTGGGGATGTGAGGTAGCCACTGGGTGTCCACCGAACATCCCTTCAGGTGCTAGGTTCTGGAAGCTGCATGGATAATAGGGGAAAGATGGCTGTGGAGGTTACCTGTAGAGAAAGTTGCTCACTTCTGTGTGGGGGTCAGGTCCTAGGTCCCCGGGAGGCTGAAAAGAGCCCAGCCCCAAGTGGCCAGGGCTGAAATGACTTCTTGTGTCAAGGGCCTCTTCCTGTAAAATAGAGGCCATTTCAAGAACTACTTGCTGATTTCATGGTAGACCCACAGCTGTGCTCTGGTTGAATGAGCTCTGAATTTGCTTCTTGCCTAAGGGCCATGAGGCTTATGGTGGAAGAAATAACATCCAAGCCAATGAGCAAAGTCCACCCTAAGTGAAAAATCTGCCTGGGCCCAGGTTGGTGGGGATGGGCCAGAGGGAGCTAGATGTTGACAGTGGGGGTGGCACGGTCACTGTGCTCGGGGTGAATCACCTATACATATCCAGTGGCCAGCAGTTTGGCCCTGAGGCCATGGCCCAAAGGAGTTCTCAGATGTGCTCCCAGGAGACAGCAGTGGAGGCCACCTGAGCTTCATCTTGGGGTGCAGGGACAAGAGCTACTCAAGGCCTTTAATGCAGCACAGGCAGCAGCCCAGCAACTATGTTAAAACTATGACACAATCCAAGAGAATTGAAAACACATGTTCAAAAATGTGTGTGGTAAATCCACAGCAGTACTGCTCACACTCACCACCAAGGGGAAGCAGCCAAAACGCCCATCAACAGATTAAGGATGAACAAAATGTGGTCCATCCACACAATGGAATATTACTCAGTCAGAAAAAGGAATGAAGTACTGACACATGTTGCAACGTGGATGAACGTGGAAAATATGCTGAGATAAGCCAGACACAAAAGGCCATATATTGTATGATCCCATCTTTATGAAATGTCCAAAACAGGCAAATCCATAGAGACAGAAAGCTGAATAAGGAGTAGCTGCTAATGGGGTCAGGGGTTTCCTTTTGAGGTAATTGAGATGTTGAGACTAGGTGGAGGAGCTAGTTGTACAACACTGTGAATGTATTTAATACCACTGAATTGTACACATACAATGGTTAATTTTATGTGACTTTTACTTCAAAAAGAAAAAAAAATCTGGGGGTGACTCCATAGTGTAGTGGTTAGCATGTCTGCTTTACACGCAGAAGGTCCTGGGTTCACGCCCCAGGTGGAGATACAGACCATACCCTGGGTGCGCCAGGCCCCGGGTGCACGCTGCGACCATGTGGGAGAAGATGCCCTACCTTCAGAGATCCAGTTCTTAAGGGGAAATGGCAACATCCATAGATCAGGGGTGGAAGTGTGTATGGGGGGAATTAAAGAGGAAAAAAAAAAAGGGCCATGTGTTTTCTAACAACACAGGGAATAGGACTCCAGGTGTGTGAGGAAGTCTGTCTGTGGCAAGGGGCAGGGACAGCAAGGCTGGACCAGAGGAACATCAATAGCAGAGCGAAAGACTCAGGTTTCCACCAGGTCTTCCAGGTATGGGCTCTGCATCCTCATACCTGACTGGTTAGAAGCCCCTGCAGCCCTGCTGGCTGGGCGGGGTGGGCAAGATCCTGTCTGGGGTGGTGCAGGGGAGGGGCAGAAGGCAGGACACAGCAAGTGATGGCTCCTGCAAGTGATTTTACTTTAAATACACAGAAAAAGAAATCCACAAACAAGAAGCTATGTTCTATGGTTATATCTTTTAAACAATGTTTTGCATTTATAAATTTTTGTTTTCCTGATTAAAAGCACCAGCTGAAGTTACAGGCTGCTAAAACCATATTACAAACCCGTTAAAAGACATTATGCCAAACATACTTATTAAAAATCCTTTAACAAAGAGACAATGCAACCAAAAACCCACCGTGCCAGGTAGCCCTTATCCTATTTCTTTGTCTGTGTTCCCAGTAAGTGGGATAGGTAGCACTTACCCCAGGGAGAGGATCTTCACCCCACCTGTGAGCACCTGCAGGGACCCAGCAGGGGGAGGCAGCTGTGTAATTTTGAGGGAACCTAGGGGCACCTCCTGGACCAGCACCTCAGACCTACAGGCTCAGGGCCACTACTGCCAACAGGAGAAGGTGGGAGGAGCACACAAGGGTCTAACCAGCTTTCAGCAACTGATCTGACAACAGAAATCCTTCTGCTACTATGGTACACCGCATAAGCTGGAGAGTTTGGAGTTTGTTTTTTCTAAACAGTTAATTATATGACACTGTGCAATATCTCCCTGGTAGCTTGCTTGCTCCCTGTCTTAAATTCTTATGACTGAGAAACTGAATGTAGACTCACAGTAAAGTATGTATGCCAGCTCGATGTAACTGGAAAATGCTGTGGTGAAGGAGAGGTTCTAAACCGTACACATAGTTTGGCTTCCATAAAGCTAGAGTGGAATATTAAATATTGAATTTTTAACTGTAAACTTAAGAACTTATCCTTAACCTCACACATACATAGATAACAGAGTGGTCACTAAAAGCACTTTAACATTAGAACAGATATTAAGTTTTGAGGTTCTTATTTCAACTGCTCTACATACAAAATGCCCTAGAAGCAACGAAAGGCTTAAATAAATACGCAGAGACGAACATGATGTGCAGCGTGATTGAAGTAATGTGGGTCTGGAGAAGTTGGACAGCATGGGGTCCAAGCTGGCAGGTGCAACCTGGGTGAGACAGGGGTTCCATCCCTTGGGTCGGGGGGAAGGCCTGGGGGACACCCTTAAGGGGGAAGGAAGACAGAATGGAGACAGCTTATGGCCGGGCTTACACTCTCCACCAAAGGCCTCACAAGCCCAGGGTTATCAGCCAAGGGGGCAGCCAGGGGCAGCCCGGGGGAGCATGAGACAGGGCCAGCATCTCCTGGGTGATGCAGAGAAGGTGGGTCCTCTTAGAACAAGCTCCGGCCAGCCCATCCCTCTGACAGCTCACTTGCTTACCTGTCAGTGGCCCCCAGGTGTGCAGCAGGACCCTGACACCAGCCTGGTGAAGGCAGTGGCCCAGGACAAGCTGACAGCCCTGCTTGTGGCTAAGGCACACCTAGGCTCAGGGGCTAAGCAGCTACCTGAGCAATCCCAGATAATGTTCCTTCTGTCACAGACACTGAGGCTTTGAGAAGCAGCCTTCACAATGCAAGTAACAAGACTCAAACCCACAAGCCACCCTTATCAGCAAGACTACTTGCCACCCCTCAGCGGGGCACCATTCCCACACATCGGAAGCTAGAGGGGTGGTTACCTCGACTACCCTCAATCCATCTATCACCCCCGATGCACCTCCTGAACTATTTAAGAAGTGCACAGAACTGAGCACACTGTTTGGGCCAGGCAGAACTTCCTTGAGTCCAGCTTGGGAAAAGGTTTCAACGTTATCCTGAAACCTAAGGCAGGTAGATCTACTCCTCCTCCCTCCTGAAGGTAGGGTCGGCTGAGCTCCAGGCATCTGCAAATGTCCTCTGCCTAGGAGGCCACAGAGCTGCCTCAGCCCCTTCATTTGGATCCTGAGTTGGGCTGAGGAGAGTCCTCTCCCCTCTCCCTGGCTTACTACCCCCATGGTATGGATGCTGACACGGGAAGGCAGCTGGTGCTAACACGAGTCTCAGTTCTGGCTCCAGCTCTGAGAATCAATGCACATGCATGCACGCACACATGCACGCACGCGCACGCACACACACACCCATGTCTACGGCATAGGCACACACACACACACCTGTCTATAGCACGCACACACATGCACACCCGTGTCTACAGCATGTGTACCCCCATGGCAAAACAGAGATCCAGTCAAGGTGCAGAAGTTTGGAAGGCAAGTTCCTGGGCTCCCAGGGCCCTTGACCAGAGGCCCCAGCTCTCAGAAGGATGGACGCTGGAGAGAAAAGCAAGCTGGGCAAAGTGTCATAGCAGGGCATGCACTTTGTCCCTGATGTGAGCAATCACTTCTTCCTCCCAATTTCAGGCCAGAAACCAGCGTCTTGCCTCTGGGCTCTGGAAGCTGCCATGAGAGCAGAGGAAACATTCCAGCCTGGCACAGAAGGCCATATGATGGAAGTCAGTTGGCGATGCCGCCTACCCTGGCACTTCCCACCCAGATGTGCTCCCCAGCAGGCGTAACTAAGATGTATAGCAGGACTGGCAGTTCACGTCCATTCATAAAAGATGGCTCTGGAAAGTTGGCTTCAACGTCCCACCTGCGAGCCTCAGCACTGAGGTCCTGTGTGCAGTGGGAATGCCGGCTGGCCCTTCCTGGGAGGGTGGGAATTGAACCTGCACACTCCCAGGGACTCGGAAGCTCTGGAGACAGTCGGGAAAGAAGCCTGGGAACACTATGCCAGCATGCCTCTGAGGAAAGCACAAGTGCCATCTGGGTGGAAGTCAGAAACACACCAGGCCCTGCGGAGGCCCCGAGAAGCTGGGCAGACCCCTTCAGGGTCCTCACAGGAGGCTAGCCAGGCTGGTGTTGGGTCCATTCTGAGCTTGGAACTGCACAGGGGGCGGGCCATCTGTCCACTGTGGGAAAAGAGGACACACAGATGAGGTCCTTCCTAGGGAGAGGCAGGGTGTACTGGGCTTTGTGCCTGCATCTGTAATGCTGCCCTCCACTGGCTGGTCACCCAACTAGGGTCCTTTGTGCTCCACACCAGAGTCAGATGGGCCCTGGCTATATTACCCACTTGGGTACTGGTGCCATCTCCCGTATCTAAGGGTCTCCTGAGGCCAAGTTAGGGATTGCTGGAGAGATGCAAAGAGACAGCAGCCAACTGTGCACTTCCTCCTCAGGGACTATGCGCACACCCTGGGGGCTACAGGCCAGGTGCTGGCCCTGAGGAGCCAACTAGCACCCCTGTTCTGACCACCCCCCATCCAGAGCCCATACCGTGATGAGGTTGTGCTCCGGGAGGCTGCAGGCCTCAATGTGGTCCTGCAGCAGCTGCTGTGAGAAGTTCTGGTGCATCTGGGCGGCTTCATGGGCATCCATAGCGTTCCCACAGGCCTTGTTCAGGTCTGAGGGTGAGATGCACACAGGGTGAGCTCACTTTGCCCTGGCAAACACCCTCCCCTTGGGTACAGGTGAAGCCCTAAGGTCGAACCCAGGTTCCACCAGTGGGTTCCTATGTACCTGATACATCACTGGAGCCCTATTTTGGGATCACCCAAGTCCACCTGCCAGAAGCCCTCATACAGGCCCTCAAGAGTTATTGAGTCATGTGTCCTTGGAAGTGGGTGAGCAGCAGGACCCATGGAGGCAGACAAAGGTTGGTTGAGTAATGCAGGGCCTCAGGCAAATGAGAGCTTGCTTGAGCAGGACACCCAATACCCACTTCTGAGGCAGGAGGACTGAATGGGCTCATAAAGCCCACTGCAGGAGCAGCCTAGCCCCTACCTTCTCCCCAGGGCCCAGAGCCAGTTTGTAATAGTGCTGCACTCTGAGTGCCTTTTCTGTGCTCAGAGCATCTCAGCCAGTCCTGCCTGAAAGGACGAGGCCAAGTGCCAGGGCTCATAGCCCATCTTCACCCAGATGCCAAGAATCCAGATGTCTTGCAGGTCCCGGAGAGGCTGAACCAGACTCTGCATTGAGCTGACCCCATGAATAAGCATAGTGACCACTGCCCTCAAATGGCCTCCTAAGAGCCCGAGAATGTGCTAGAAATGGGGCTATGGCCTGTAGAGACCAGGCTGAGCAGAGGCCAGTCTGGGCATCTCTGATCTATGGGAAGGGCTGGCTGTTGCACTCACCTCTCAACAGAGCCGACGACCACAGCTGCACTGACATATCTGGGATCTTGCTGGCCAGCTGCATGGCAGGCACCACCATGTTGTTACTTTCCTGTCGACCAAGAGCAGCCAGGGAATGGGGGGAAGGGGGCTGGGGCAGGCAGCAGGGACAGTTCAGACCCTACCTGCTATACCTAGCCTAGGCTGTGCCCTCCTGTCGCCTGGCAAACTCCTACTTTACAGCCCATCTCACATGGCCTCTGTGAAGTACTCAACCACCTCGGTGGAAAATAAACTGCCCCCACTCCTTGGCTATGTGTGTGGACCATGGCTTCCACGGCAATTCCATATGCCTCTGCCTTTGTCTTTCCAACCAGAGAAGAAGGCACTGATGGTAGTCAGCTCTGGACCCAGATCAGGAGCCAACTGGAAAGGCAGATTCCAGGATCCCAGAGCCTGGGAGGAGGCAGCAGTCTGCCCAGTGAGAGTGATGAGGGCAGAATGGACAAAGAAGGGAGGAGCCTGCTCCTGTGGGAGGCCACCTCAGATACGTAGGGCTATGGTTAACATGTTAACCATTTGGTAACCCTCTAATCCTGACTATGTGTGACTGTACAGTGACGCCATCCCCAATTCCCAGGATGAGCTGAAAGAGAGCTGTCAGGGGCCATAAACACCCATCCCTGACCCCATGATGACTGGCAGCGCTGCTTTGTCCTTGCTCATGAACCACGAGCCCCAATGGCTGAAATGTTGGGTTCAAGGTGACACTGGGAGAACGCCCTTCACAGCAGCCTGGAGGACACTTGTCATACAGCTGAAAGACTTGCAAATCATCAAAACCAACTCTTAAGTCCTAGATTCGACATAGCTATGGGTGTGCGGGCACGCAAAAGCACTACTTCACACTCCCCTGACTAGCACCTCGAAGATGACTTCCAGGTGGACCCCCTAAGCTTTTCAAGGCTGAACCAAGACCTTCCAAGACCTCAGAATGCATAACAGAACAGGAAAAACCACCCTCCTCCTCCAGGCCCGAGACTGGGCCTGTCTGGAAGCCATCTGCAGGAGTGTCTCCCTCGGCTCTCCTATGTTAGCTTGGGGTTGCCCCACAGAATTGGGTTTTGAAAATTTGCATGACCCTGAGGTGTTCTGAGGGAGACCACCCACAAACTCGCAATACTCATGGACACTAGCCTATCAGGCTCAGAGTGGCGTTGTCTGTGTCTGACGGTGTCTCCCCCGACACCTGGAGTCACCTGAGGCCAGGCCTGGGTCTGAGGGCTCTTGGGGGCCCATGTCACCCCCATATGGGCCCAGGCACACAGGAAGCAGTGCAGGGTCCCAAATAAACTCTATAAAATGCCCCGGGATCACCCCAAACATGAACCAGAGCTGTACCTGAAGAGCTGCTTTGCCCAGCCTGCCCCACTCAAGGTGGCTTCTGGAGATGTCTAGACAAATGAGAGCCAGGGAGGTCTCGCTCTAAGCCTGGGTCTGTAGTTTCTGGCTGTGTGACCTTAATCTCCCCATCTGGAAATGGGGTAATCACAGCCACACTGAGACACAGGCACACAGCCCGTATTCAGTGGGGCTTCATGCTGCCCCAAAACACACACCAAGGCCACTGTTCTTACTGTGCTCAGAGGCTGAGGGGCAGGGTGACAGAATGTTCTAGAAGGAGCAGAGCTGTACTCAGAAGGGAGAACCCACAGCTCATCCTTATCCTTTGAGGGTGGTGATATCACCAGTGTTCAGGCCACGGCCACCAGGACCTGAGGCCACCAAGGCCCACTGGCCTTGACAAACGCTTGTCACATGGTTGTGGGGAGGGGAACCTACCAGGCTCATTAAAAATGCTCATTCTTAGGGAGCCCTGGGGTTTGATCAGATAAAACTTTACAGGCCAAGACACCTGACCTGTGACATCTGTCCTGTGAAAATTGCTCAAATGAGGGTGGCTAAACTACTGAGCAGATGTAGCTTCAAAATTCTGCCATTAAAAAAACCTCTGATACAGTGGGGCAGAGAAAAACAAGGTGTAAAATTGTAAGATAGCCTGACAAATAAGACCTATGTGTGGGCAGGGGCAAGCAGTGAAAACAGGCAAAAGACAGAGGACATGCAATGATTTTCAACTTTGCTTCTTAGAATTTCTATGATGAATACGTCATATCTTATAATATGAACAAATATTTTATTTAAAAAACTGAAAGCCTTGTGAGGTCAATGGGTGAAAGCAGGCAACAATGCACATCTGATAGGGAGACGTGGAGTTCGCTGATCTCACCGGGACCAACCCCAGGGGCTACTCTGGATAAGGGTGAGAACAAGGGTAACCTGAGGATGACGTGTGTGCTGGGCAGAAACAGAGCTGAAAGGATTATAACTGAGGACACATCTCTGTCCCAAGTGTTAACACACAGGAAGGGGACCTGCCTCAGCCCTACCAGCTCCAAGTAGCCCCACCAATCCCTTTTCTAGAGACACAAAGCTCCCCGGCCTGCCCCGCCCTCCCCCCGCCCCCCCCAGGCTTGTGAGCTAGGGCACTCCTGCTCTTGCCAAGCCTCATGGAGCATGGGGGCTGGGGAGTCACTGAGATAAGGTCATCGAGGAAGGGGCACAGAATGAAAGTGTTGATTGGTGATGCCCCCGCAAGCACCATGATGGCCCCTCAGCCCAGCCCCAGGCACTCACCCTGTGGTTCCCTAACACATAAAAGATGTGGCCTAGGAGCACCAGGGAACAGGCCGTGAGCCGGTTTAGGTCCTCCGCGTTCGACATCTTCAGAGTTTCCCGCAGAAACCGCCTACGTAAGGAGAACAAACTGAAGCCCTCAGCAAAGCCCACCTGGCAGGGGGACAGAGGTCCTGGGCACGCAGTGTTGGGGGAGAAAATTACCCTGAGGGCTGCCCTCTCCAGCACTTACTTGGCCTCGTTGTAGCGTCCCTGGAAGAAGGAGAAGAGCCCGCGCACGTAGAAAGCTGCCGCTCGAAGGCAGTGTGAGCTGCGGGGAGAGTGGAACATCACAACTTGGTGGGGGTTTTTGTGAACGCAGGAGTCTTACAAAAGAGGAGTGGATGTTAGAGGTGGTGGTGGTGTGCGAGGTATTGGTTAACAGGGCAGCCAGGGGCTCCACGGGAACCGGAGCCATCCCAAAGAGCAGAAAAAGCATAAGACAACTGGTAAAGTGGGACCTCAGTGTGGGGCCGCCTACCTGACAGGGAAGCTGTGGTCAGGGTTGATCCTCTCCAACAAGCTGTACAGCTGCGGAGGAAACGTCAGTTGGGATCACTCTGCATTTCTAAACGTGAGAGAGTTTGGCTCCAAATATGCTACCAAATTGACTAGGGCTACCTTTAACTTCCCAACCCAATCTGACAGTGTCATGCCCTCACCCTGAATTCCAGACCTCAGCAACCTACCAAGAAAGGAAGCAGAATGTGCAAGGACAGGTGAGGGAACTATGGGACTCTGAACAGGATGCTTACTTCCTTACACTCCCATGGGAATCACAGCCTCCAGTGCAAAGGGTCTGGGGTGGGGTACTTGCACCCATAGCCTACCCTGCTCTGTGCCAGATGAGGGAGTTGGGGTACATGGGTAACTGTCTAGTCCTAGTCTTTCTATGGTCAGAGGGGCCCAGCCTAGAGGGGCAAGGTGGTAAGATAAGCCTATGTAGGCTGAGGGTGGGGGTGGGGTTATCTGGAGGTACAGGGACCTTGGAGTCTGACAGGAAGCACTGTGACTGATATTTTAGGTCCCCTCTGGCTGCTGTGAGGAGACTGGATTAGGGATGAGGCAGCACCTGGTGCCCCCACAGCTCCTCCAAGAGGCAGACTAGGGGAAAGGGTGGGGGGCAAAGACAAGGAAGCTGAGCTTCCCCATGACCTGCCAAGCATGCCTCATGGAGCCCATGCCTAGCACTCAAATGACTCTGCCCACTGCTTCCTGACTGCCAAGTGGTCAAGGCTGGCTGGGCTTTTTGCTCCCTGCAGCAAAATCTGGGAACTCAACTAAGCTTTTTGTAGATAAGAGATGATGGTAACCTGAACTAAAACGAAGGCTGTGGGATGGAGAGAAGTGGTTGAATCTGACGCTCTGGAGACAGGATCGCAGAGCTGTGGCTGGGGTGGGGGGAGGGGCGTAGGGGAGAAGGCCAGAGATCTCACAGCTGAGGGGTTACAGGGGAACCTGGTGTGAGGGCACTTGTCCTGTAAGGATAGGCCCTTAGCACCCCCCACCCTGTAATCCCGAGTCTGGGGGATGAGGACAACCTGGGGCCCAGTGCAAACAACTCCTCAAGCTGCTCTTTAAAAGTGAGCCAAGAGGCCTCCCTACCACGCTACAATAGACAGTTTGAGGTAGAAGAAACTGGATTTGTTCTGGGAGAATCAACAAAGCTTGGCTTGTTTTCAACAGGGAGAAATGTTACTTGGCCAAGGGACATTTCTGTCCCAGACATGGCCTCCCCCGGTCACACCGCACTCTGAGAACAGATACGCTGGGGCTGCTGAGATGGCCAGTACCCAGGGCTCTCTCCTCCCCAGTCCCTAAATAAGAGTTAAAAAATACCAAACATGAAGCATGTCACCTACTACCTCTTGGTGTCTATTTCCTTCCCGTATATACACACTCGCCAGGTTGGTCACGATGAAGGCCCATAGCTCCTGGTGGTTGGTGAGCTGGAACAGAGACATGGGGAATTAGGGGTCACTCATAGCATTGGAGCCACACAAACGCTAGCTGGTGTCTACTGTGGAATACCTTATTCTCTTCATTTCATACATATACCCCTTGTCTGTATCCTAAACTTAAGAACAGTACAACTGTTAGTTCTTTGCACTATAAACTTGTCATCTGTATTACAAGAAATTTAGGAAACTGAGAAAAGGGAACCAGTGCTCTGATCCTGCTCTCAGAACACATTACGTTTTGGTCTATTTTCTGCTTGTTTTTCAGAACTGAGACCTGAGCAGCCCCTCCCTTCATATCGGTTGGTGACCTTGGGACCCTGTGTTCACTAACATGGCAGAGGCACATGCCAGTCCTGGGGTGGGCCCTGCCAGGAAGAAGGCCAGAGATGCCACCAATGGCTGGCGGTAGACAGACCATTGTCTCCAACTCAAGAATGGCCAAGAGAGGGACCAAGCTGAGTGGCTTGAGCATCATCCAGAACCTGGTTCCTTGTGGGGCTGAGGAAGCACAGCTATGTAAGAGGCTGAGGGCACCTGGGTAGTGCAGACTCCACCCACAGAAAAGGCCCAGAGGGTCCTCTGATGCAGCAGACGCTCTGGTTCGTTTGTTGAAGGACCACAGGAAAAGCTCATGTTTGGGGCCGGGGGGTTGGGTCCATGTCCTGGCTGCACCACTTCCCTGTCATTCCCTCCTGGCTGATGCGGGAATCCCTGGGAGCATACACAATGAGAGCAGCAGCAGCCACTTGTGGGAAGTGAGATGAGGAGGGGCCAAAGAGAACTTCATGGGCCTATACAGTAAGTGCAGGCAGTAGGGGCGGATATGGGGGGGTCCCATTAGCCCAAGCTGACCATGGCCCGGAAGAGTGGGAATGGATGGAAGGTCCTGGAGGGCAGGAGGAGCAGGCACTATGCCTGCTCTTCCGTGGGGTGTGCTGCCTGCATCCATAGCCCTGCAGAGAATCTTGGAGCAGTAACACCGCATGAACCCAACCCTGAGAGTGAAGAGGTCTGGAGACTGGCATAAGGAGCAGAACAAAGCTAGCCATTTGATAGTCAGGGGGCACATGACATCCCAGTGACCTCACCTGAGTCACAGAGCTGCCCCCACACCCCAACATCTCTGCTTAGGGCCTCCCTATGACCACTGGGAGGAAACTATTGCCAGTCCTTTTCCTGGGAGGATGTCAGGGTCAAGTTGAGGATGTACTTATCTGGTCCTGAGCAAGGTGGGCAGAGCTGAGACTTGCCACTGGGCTATTAACTCCCGGGTCTGTCAACTCTACAAGGATGTGGCACCAGCCTTCTCCCAGGGCCTGACAGGACCCCATCTGAGGCTAGGACACCCCCTAGCGGAACTCCCACCCAATGTGGCAGCACCAGGTATCCTCTGCCCCTAGAGCACCCAGGTCACGGGGCTGGTGCAGGGTCAGGACACACCCAGCTTCATGTTTCAACTCTCTGTATAGACAGTTCTTGGAAGTTCCTGAACCCCACTGAGTGACTACATCTTCAGTTATGTCACAAGCCATCACCAGTCTGGTGGGCTATTGGGAGGGCTGGCTGGGAATCAGGAGTAAAACAGGCTAAACACACTGTTGCACCAGTGGGTACCAGGCTTTCCTTAGTAGCTGTCTTTCAGGTTTGGCAGGGGAAGCCCCACCCCAGGTTGACCAGAAGCCCCCTTGCCCACAGCCATCCGTTGTCAGGTTGTGCTGCCAGCACTGGTCTTGTCCCCATCTAAGAAGCACAGGACCTGCCATGGATAACCCCAAATAAAGTGCATCACTGTAACAGCTGGCATGAATATTGCAGAGTCACCCGCTGACCAGTTGTGCACGGCTGTTGTCCTCATCACAGCCCACGCCTGACTCCTTACTAAGAAGCACCGCCCGCCCAATAAGGAGAGGGCCGGCACCTTACCCGCAGGGCTGTGGTGAACTGGGCTTCTGCGTTGTCCATGCAGTTGACAGAGACACAGTACAGGCCCTGGAAGGAGACAGTGAGGGCTCAAGGACTCACCGCTTATCCAGGGTTGCATGGCTGCACCTGGATGAGCCTGACTAGTGCCTCTGAGATAGCTATACCTGAGCTTTTGCTCTGGTGAGGAGACACAGAGATGGCAAGCTGAGTTATTCCCTCCTCCTAGGACCTAAGTCAACTTGAACTCAAGGTGCTTGTCAGAATGAAGCCCATTGGGATCGTTCTGGATTCTGCCCGGGATGACGATCGCAGGGTTGCTCATTGGAATGGGGCTGGGGCAGGCAGCTCTGTGAACTCACCAGCAGTGTATGCAGCTGTGCTGCATGGTTGGAGAAGAGCCGGGGTGACTGCTGGCACAGCTGGCAGACCTGGGAGATCTG